GCATGTAGAACGTGCTCAATGTCTTGGCATTCATGAACTGGGAATTACTATCATTTAAATTTTTTTTAGTTTGGAGCTAGAGAGATGGCTCAGTGGTTAAGAGCACTGACTGCTCTTACAGAGGACCCAGGTTTGATTCCCAGCACCCATATGGCAGTTAACAGTCATCTGTAACTCCAGTTCCAGGGGAATCTGAAGCCACCTTCTGACCTCTGAAGGCATGGCACAGCAGGAGTGCACTTACACACAAGCAGGCAATACATTCATACACATAAAATAAAAATAAATAAAATAATAATTTTTTAAAATTTAGTTTGTTGGAGGCTTGAGAGATGGCTCAGTGGTTAAGAACACTGACTGCTGCTGCAAAGGACACGGGTTCAATTCCCAGCACCCACATGGCAGTTACCAACCATCCTTAACTCCAGTTCCAGGGGACTCTGAAGCCCTCTTCTGATCTCCGTGGCATTGCACGACATGGGTGCACTCACATACATGCAGCCAATACACTCATACACATGAAATGAAAATAATAAAATTTTTTTTAATTTTTAGTTTGCATACAAAGCAATATATTTCATTGTGACATTTTTATACACATATATCATTATGGGAATCACAAATTAGAATAAGGAGATACAGAGCTGGGGATGTGGCTCAGTGATAAAGCACTTGCCTACTATGGGCAAAACCCTGAACTTTACCTCAGGAATGGGAATAAATGAATAACAAAATGAGATATAACTCATGACGGTTTTAACTGTCAGGTTGATACAACCTAGAATCACCTGGGAATAGAGTTTCAGTCTAAGAATTGTCTAGATCAGATTGGCCTATGGGCATATCTGTGGAGGACTGTCTTGATGTGGAAGGAACTAGCCCACTGAGGGCAGCACCATTTCACAGGCTGGGCTCCGCATACATAAAAGTGAACTGAGCAGCAAGCAAGCACACAAGGATATATCTATTCTCTCTGCTCTTGACTTTGAATGTAATATGCTTGCCTGGACTTGCCCAAAATAATGAACTGTAACTTGAAATTGAAGTCAAATAAACCCTTTACTCCTATGTTGTTTTTGTCAGGGTATTTATCACAGCAGCAGAATGAAACTACATACTTATTAAAATGGTTAAAACCAGGGACTTGTTGGGGCTAGAGAGATGGCTCAGTGGTTAAAAGCACTGGCTGCTCTTGCAGAGGACACAGGTTCAGTTCCCACATCCACATGGAGACTAACAACCATCTGTAACTCCAGTTCCAAGGGCTTCAACACTCTCTTCTGATCTCCTAAGGCACTGCATGACAAGGGTGCACTTATAGACACACACATGCAGGTGTATACTCATACATAAAAATAATAATTTTTTAAATAATAATAAATATTAAAAATTATTTTTTAAATCAAGAACTGGTGAGATGGCTCAGTAGGTAAAAGTGCATGCTGTGGCAAGCCTGGTGACCTGAGTTCAATCCCTGAATCCACATAAAGATGAAAAGAGAGAACCTACTCCTAAACATTGTCCTCTGACCTCCACACTCATGCTGTGACATCTGTGCTCATGCACACATCTGCACTCTCAGGTACACGCACATGTCTGTAATAATAAAAAGAAGGGAGGGAGATAGGGAATTACAGAATAGTTAAAATCCAAACACTGAAAAATACCAAATGCTGATAAGGATAGGAACACTTCATCCATGGCTGGTAGGAATGGAAAATGTCAAAAAAATTATAGAAAGTACTTCCTCACAGTCTAAATCATTCTCTCTCTCTCTCTCTCTCTCTCTCTCTCTCTCTCTCTCTCTTTTATTTCTTTTTCTTCTGTGGTGCTATGGATGGAACTCAGGCCCTCATGCATACTAATAATGAGACAAAAACTGGTCACGTGTGTGTGTGTGTGTGTGTGTGTGTGAACCCCAAAGTGCAATACTGAGAATGTCCTTGCTGGAGGCCAGGAACACCAGAAGAGAGCTCTGATCCCTGGTTCTTTGCTATCTCTGACCCCTGCCTGGACTGAAACTGAGAGGAGGCATCTGGACACCTCATTCTCACCTATGAATCAATAATAAACTTCTTTCTAAAACTCACTCTCTGTGGTCCATGAATTTCATTTTTTTACTTTGTCATAGAAGAATCCAGAGACCACTAATGCAGTGAAGGTTTTGTGTGATAGTAAGCACTGGGCACCCCAACTCCTGAGTAAAGTGCCCCTGAGGTGGGAGAGAAGGCCTCCATCGAACTCCAAGACACCGCACTTTTCCTATATTACTAGGCAAGTCCTCTACAACTGAGCTACACTACATATACCTTCAACCCCCTAAACATAATCTCACCATATGACACAACAATTGTGCTCTTGGTTATATACCCAAGTGAGTGAGAAAAAACCTGCATATGAATATTCATCAATTGCTAAAATCTAGAAATAACCACAACACCTTTCAATAGGTGAATGGGTAAATAAACTATGGCATATCCATATCATAGGATATTATCAAAGGATATTATTCAACAGAAAAAGAAGTGAACTATCAGACCACAGAAACAAATAAAGGAACCTTAAAAGTAAAATGCTGCTGGTCGTGGTAGTGCACATCTTAAATCCCAGCACTCAGAAGACAGAGGCAGGGGGATCTCTGTGAGTTCAAGGCCAACTTGGTCTACATAGAGTTCCAGGCCAGCTAGAGCTACAGGGAGACCCTGTCTCAAAATGACCAAAAAAAAAAAAAAAAGCAAAATGCTAAGTGAAAAATGTCAGTGTGAAAAGTTGCAGTTCTAGGACAGTTTAGAAAAGATAGTGCAGGAGGAAGAGGTAGCTCAGTGGTAGAAGAGAGGAGGGAAGAAGAGAGGAGAGGAGAGGAGAGGAGAGGAGAGGAGAGGAGAGGAGAGGAGAAAGAAGAGGGCTGGGGAGAGGAGAGGGGAGGGAAGAGGAGAGAAAGGAAAGGAAACAAAACAAAATGTGAAACTATAGCCAGTTAATAAAATCAGCAGTGCTGAGAGGTGTAAGTGGAAGGAAAGTCAGGGTGAATAACTGGGGCACAGAGAGAGCTGCTGCATATCAAACTATAATGGTAGATATGTGTCACTAAATCATTGTCAAAACTTATAGGTCTGGGGCTAAGAATGCGACTTAACTGTAGAATATTTCCCTGGCATGCATGAAACTTTGGGTTTGATCTCCAGCACAGGGAGGGGGACCCGATGACAAGAGTGAACCACGCTATTAACTGTAAACTTTATTTAATAATATAACACTTCTAGTTCATGAACTATATAACACAAGTACCTCACTAGTGCAACATGTTAATAACAACAAATTGTGACAGAGCTAAGAAAACATATGGAAGCATATATACTACCTTTTCAATTTTCCTATAAATCTAAAATTACAATACTGAAAATTTAGCTTTAAAATTCTATTCTAGAGGCTGGAGAGATGGCCCAGTGGTTAAGAGCAGTAACCCTGGTTTGAATCCCATCACCCACATGGTGGCTAATAACCATCCATAACTCCAGTTTCAGAGGAACTAGACTCTTCTGACCTCTGAGGGCCTTGCACTTACACACATACAGGCAATACACTCATACACATAAAATAAAAATAATAAATAAAATATTTTTAATTCTATTCTAAATGCACCTTGTCACACAATCCAGAAATTGCACTCTCATGCATTTATTCCAAACTTGTATTCATAATAAGCAAAATCTATAGCCAGGTATGCTAACACATACCTGTAATATCAGTACTCAGGAGCATGAGGCAGCTTCAGTCAAAAAAAAATAATGTTTAAAGAGGAGGGAGTCAAACACTAGAAACAACTAAGATACCCTTTAACCAATGAATGGCTTAAATATGTTACATCCACATCATGGAATACTATTCAGAAATAAGAACAAACAAGCTATTGTGTTGCATACAGCAATCTGAATGAATTTGTTGAGAATTATGCTGAGTGAAAAGAATGATTCCAGAAAACAACATAGTGCATGGTTACATTTATATAGCAATCTTGAAATGATGGAGCTGTATTGTATTAAGGTGGAGGTGGGGGCAGATAGAAAGTAGTCTTGGCTTTTAAGGGTAACAAAAGGGCTAGCGGCATAGATGAGTGATAGAGCACTTTCCAAGCCTGAACAATCCCTAGATTCCCTCCCCAACATGGAAAAAAAGGAGAAATCTTTGTAGCTATGGAAATGTTCAATACGTCAGTATTCCTGGATCTTATGCAAAGGTTTTACAGGATTTCCACTGGGGGGACTGAGTAAACTACACACTGCATGTGCATCTATAATTATTTCAAAAGAAAGACATGCCCAGATATGGTGGCACACACTTGCAATCCCAGCACTTTAGAGACTTTAGGAAAGAGGATGGCCATGAGTTCAAGGCCAGCTGAGGCTACACAGCAAAACTATTTTCAAAAATCCAAAACAAAGCCTGGCATAGTGACATACACCTTTAATTCTAGCACCAGGGAGTCAGAGGCAGGCAGATTTCTGTGAATATCAAGCCAGCCTGGTCTGCAGAGTGAGTTCCAGGCCAACCAGAGCTACATAGTGAGACCCTTCCTCAAAATTCCAAAAAATAAAAATAAAAAAAACAGAGTATTCCTCCCTTGGAGTCCCTTCCACACTCAGGAGTTCTTTCTCAGTTTTCCTTAATTAATCTAAACTCATTCATTTTACTTCATTCAATCAAAAACAAGATAAACCAAGGCCAGGGGTGGTGGCACATATGGGTAGTCCCAGCACTCAGGAGGCAGAGGCAGGCAGATCTCTGTGAGACCAAAAAAAAAAAAAGTATTCCCCCCAAACGGTAAACCAAACAAACAGAAACAAAAAGAAAAACATAACTAAAGAACTAGTAGGTGTGAGAATGCATTTTGCTGTAGAGCACAAGAATGCAACCCTGGATTCTGCCCCCAGCACTGAAAAAGAAAAAAGAAATAATAGAAGAAAAACAAATAATAAAAAAAATAAGCTCCTCCTCCTTACCTCAAATGATCTGCCAGGTTCTTCTGGAATCAAAGCCGGAAACCTCTGGGGTGATTTCTCATTAGCTGGCATGTTCACTAGGGGCCTCAGCCCCACTTCCAAAGCTGGAAAGTCCTCAGAAGTTATATTCTGCAGCCTCTAGCAAGGCTGAAAGTTCAATGGTTTCACAGAGGCAGAAAGAAATCCTAAAAATGACAGCATCCATGTCATTTCACATTGACCTCACAGACCTCAGTAACCCCTACTCTGGGTTTTACTGATGGTAGATTATGGAAAGGATCACAATATTCAGAATCAAATTAATGAGCTCTGAGCCCATAATTTTTGGGTGGCTCTGTGGAGAGCATCACCCGCTACCCAGCTAGCCTGTCGGCAACAGCTTAAGTATCTTTTCAGAGACCTTTACTCAGGTGAGACCAGTACTTTTTTCTGAGACAGGGTCTTACTCTGTAGCCCAGACTGTCCTGGAACTCTATATTGTGATGGACTTGAACTCATGGCAATTCTCTTGTCTCCACCTCCCAAGTACTGGGATTACAGGTATGAGCCACCACACCCAGTTTATGCAGTGCTGGAGATCAAACTCAGGGCCTCTTGCATGCTAGGCAAGCATTCTACCAACTGACCTACAGCCCTAGACCCAAGAACGTGTTTTTTAGTAAATGAGATTATAATGTGATTTATGGGGTGCACTTATAGGGTGATAAAATAAAAAAAATATATACAGATCAAAAAAAGTCAGAGAAATCCTTTAGGTCTCAAGGAAATCAAGATATGTTTTGACTATAAACATGGGTCACAATCTTGTTTGTGAGATTCTCAGAAAAGTAAGCTTACAGATGAAAAAGTGATAAGGTCAAACGCAAAAGTCACATATGTTTTGACCTTAACCACAGTTCATTACTATTTCTTTTTTTAACACAGGTTCTCACTATATATCCCTGGCTGGCCTGGAACTCATTTTGTAGACCAGGCTGGCCTTGAACTCACAGAGATCCACCTATCTCTGCCTCAAGTGCTGGGATTACATGAGTGAGCTATCAGGCCAGCTCAAAAATCTATCAGGCTCTGTTGAAAGGCTACTAGAATTCCAAACTTATATTGATAAGGGACTGGGTACAAACATTATAAAAGCAGATTTTTTTTCTATAGTAGCAATGAGAAAATGTAAAATATTTGAAAATACATTCAGAATAACAATGTATATATAT